CTTTCTTTCTTTCTTTCTTTCTTTCTTTCTTTCTTTCTTTCTTTCTTTCTTATATGAAGGGGATACATGTAGAACAACTTACAGGAGTTGGTTCTCTCCTTCCTCTGTATGGGCCCTGGGGACTGACCGAAGATGATTAGAGTTTTGTTTATAGTAAGTACCTTTACCCAGGGAGCCATCTCATTGGCCAAAGTATGCAAAAATAAATTTTAAAAATTAACAAACCTTTTGGTTTTCCTCAGCTCCATGCATAGTGTCATGGGACTTTATCTGAACTGGGCTCTGATTTGTGCTGGCTACTCTCATCCTGGGACCACACCCATGTTTCACTGACAACTATCCTTAATTCTTTAAAGTGATGCCAGAATATAGATGTCTTCAGAAGCAGCCCACTGCCAAGTTCTTAGAGGTTTTAACCATGTTTCCCTTTTAGAATAGTGAAGTCGTCGCTAATACTGGTTTGGTAGCATTCTTCTGTCACCAGATTATCCTTATCAAGCCCCACTAAAACGTTCAATTTAATTTTATAGAATTAACAGCTCATTTTTCCCCTCATGCTTGCATTTTATTAGTTAATAACTTAATTAAATCCCGTAATAGCAGAAACCAGTATAACCTGAGTAATCAGGTTTGGAAGCAAACACAAGTGCATCCTGGTAAGTGTTGCTCAAGTGTTGCTTTAATATGGGAAAGGCTTTGCCAGGCTGAAGTCATCTAACACTCCTGACAGTGAGTGATGGTTTCCTCATCTGCTTGAATTCCCATATGTTACAGAGGGAGGAATTAATTCAGGCTGAAGATTAAGTAGAAGATGAATAGTTAGACAAGCATGAGCTGTAGTGGTTTCATACCTGTTTGGAGGAGTCATGTAAATAAATGACATATCTCGGAGACCCCAACAACTTGATTTTACTCTGAATTATGTATAAGTGTGAAGGGTACTGTCCTGGCTAGTTTTATGTCAACTTGACTCAAGCTAGATTCATGGGAAAGGCAACCCCCATTGAGAAAATGCCTCCATTAGATCTAGCTGTAAAACATCTTCTTAATTAGTAACTGATGAGGGAGGATCCAGCCCATTGTGCATCTTACTATTCCTGGACTGGTGATGCTGAGTTCTATAAGAAAGCTGACTGAGGAAGCCATGTGGAGCAAGCCAGTAAACAGCACCCTTCTGTGGCCTCTTCATCAGCCCTTGCCTCCAGTTTCCTGCTTTGTGTTCTTGTCCTGGCTTCCTTCAGTGTAAGCCAAACAAATGCTTTCCTCCCCAGCTTGTGTTTGGTCATGGCGTTTCATCCTAACAACAGAGACCTGAAGTAAGGCAGAAATTGGTACCAGCGTAGTGGGATTGGTGTGAAAGACCTGATCATATTTTTGGGAAGGGTTGTAGGAAGGTCTTTGGAACTTTGGTCTAGAAAAGCCATTGAGTGTTGAGAGCTCAGTAGGAGGTTCTTTAGGGGCCTGAAAGATAAGAATGTTGAGAACAGTGTAGGCTTGGCTTGTGAAGTTGCAGAGACTCCTGAGACACCGCTGGGCCTTTGGTGTGAAGAATCTGTGGTGTTTGGTCAACTGGAGTGGCAGAGTCTGCTGTGATTAACAAACCATTGAAGTGAAACCTTTGCTTTGCCAAGAAAGGTGATAATGGCAACAGTAAGCCATTGATTAGTCTGTTTCCTGGTACTGTAATGAAATCCGAGGGCACACTGCTTAGTAACAAAAGGTTCATTTACTTCCCAGTTTTGAAGGCTGGAAACAAGATCAGCAGCCCCATCAGTTGGGTGCCTGCTGAGGGCCTGTTGGTGAGGGCCTTCAGGAATGAGGAACCTGTGCAAACTGAAGACTTCCCATGGACAGACAATGAACTAGACAGGAATTAGTGTGGGTTTTCCCTTAGAAAAACTCAGACTGTGCAGGGCTCACTTTGAATCCTGCTAGAATCACCTAAATCCTTTTCCATCACAGTTCACTTAATAACTCAAGGATCTCCCTGTATGCTATACCCATTAAAGGTCCATGTCCCTTCCCAACATCACAGTAGGGGCCAAACTCCCAACACATAAACCCTTGTGTGGCAGATTAGTACCATGAAAGGGTTTTGTTTTGTTTGGGTTTGGGAGGTGCTGTAATCACAAGAATGTAATGGGTTTGTGGTAGAGAGAAGAGGCACAAAGAGTTTCTTCTCGTCCCAGAGCTTGTAACCTCTGGACTATGGAGTAAGTGTATCACATGCACACTAACTCAGGTGCCACCAGACAGTTCCCACTAAGCTCTTCCTGATAGATGAAAGCTATCAAGTAGTCTGTGCAAATTAATTTGAAGACAGGCTTCATGATACAGGGTTGTTACAGGACTTACTTTAAGACGCAGTCACAGTCATTGAACATCAATACTTTCTTCATCAAGTGTTCATATCAGATTGGTTGCTAAAAATGTGATGCTGACACAGATCACATTTTAAGGCAGATAATTATATAGAGTGGTTCTTAAAGATTAATTCAAACAAAGGAATGGGTAACTGTAGGGCAAAGTGTGCTTATCTTCCTAATACACATTTATTTAATATAACTTACTTACTTAGTTTCATTTCCATTTTATAATGTCTGATTCCTGAACTTGTATACATCTGTTTAAAGACCACAAAGACACAGCGTTTGGGAAGACTGTGAATAATTGAATGGAGTTTCTGGTTGATAGTGATCCTGCCTTGTCATGTGCCGTAAAATACGGTATAGGATGCACATGCAGTTTTAGCCTGGAGCCATCAGTTGCGCCGTTAGGTGCATTGTCATCCTGGCATCCAAGTCTCCTAACATGGGAATCCATGGGGCTACTGATGGAGGGTGAGTTTTAGGCTCAGACCCTTCAGGGATCAGCATCAAGTCTTTAGATACAATCTGTTGGCTGGATTTGACCCACCAGATGGTGGAGAGATTCCTGGTGGCCAAAGCAAAATGAAAAACCTCACAAGATGCTCTTATCTAGGAGATGGGAGTGGATCAGCTTCCAAGCAAAACAAATTTCTCTTAAAAATTCATAGGAAAGATGTCACAAGGGATTGGAAACTATTTTCTTCTTCAGCAGAGTATTGGGTTACATGTGGCTTTCCTTGTCCTTTTGTAGGATCTGTGGAGATAGGATGTCTCTCCAAACATTTGAGTAATGAGGACCTTGCTCCAGAAAGATGGGCTGAGCATGGTGTCCCTTATAAGATCAAAGGAGTCCTCAATTGCAGAATAGACCTTTAGCATCTGACCAGAAAAGTCTTGGTTACTTGTGCCAATATAAAGACACTTTTAGAAAAGTTACTTTGTGTGTGTATGTGTGTGTGTGTGTCTGTGTGTGTCTGTGTCTGTGTCTATGTGTGTATTTATACACAATGCTTCTGAGTGTAGGCAAGTGCATGCAAATGGTTAGAGGACAACTTGAAAGACAATTCTTTTCCCTTTTCTTTCTTTTGGTTTTTCGAGATCAGGTCCCTCTGTATAGCCCAGGCTGTCCTGGAACTTGATGTATAAACAAGGCTGGCCTTGAACTCAGAGATTTCCTTGCATCTGCCTCCAAAGTGCTGAGATTAAAGGTATGCACACAACCACCTGATCTTTTCTCCTTTTATCATGTGGGTTATGGGGATCAAACTCAGGTTGTTGGGCTTGGTGCCAGGTACCTTTATCCTCTGAGCCATCTGGCCAGTCCTCTCATCTATTACTAAGATAATCTCTT